CATTTCTAAAAATGTCCACTAGAATCTTTTCCCTGTGGCAGCCAGCCGCTTTGTCCGTTTCTCCTCCCTGCCTCCGTGTTTGTTTTCCGTGCATTTGCGCCATAGACACAGACCTAAAGTTGTGCTGGCTCCTGGCCCTTGCGTTGTCTGTTTGCAGTGGGTTGTTCTTTCCAGCTTTTGTATGTCTTGTATTTTTATTTAACAAGTTCCAGACATTGTGTGAAGGCGAGAAGAGACTTCTGCGGGGCTGTCGCTGTATGTGAAACCGGAAGGGCAGGAGGTACATGCCCTTGACCAGAATCGAATTTGGGACCCTTCAATCCATGGGCAGATGCTCTATCCACTGAGCCAAACCAGCTAGAGCAGTGATGGCGAACCTTTTGAGCTCGGTGTGTCAGCATTTTGAAAAACCCTGACTTAACTCCGATGCCGTGTCACATATAGAAATTTTTTATATTTGCAACCATAGTGAAACAAAGACATATTTTTGATATTTATTTTACATATTTAAATGCCATTTAACAATGAAAAATCAATAAAAAAAATGAGTATCATAGGTTCGCCATCACTGAGCTAGAGTGCAAACTCTTTTTATAAGTAGGAAAACTGCATTGTAAAATAACATTAAAAGTATATGTAATAAATACATAAACCAGTAACATGGTGGTTTGTTGTCATGATCACGTATGTACTATACATGTCTGTATGGGCTGCACTTGTGCACGACTGGTAGTGCGGGTTTGTTCACATCAGCATCACCACAGACCGTGAGTCGTGTGTTAGCTCTGATGCGATGGGGGCTACGATCTCATTAGGTGATATTCTCAGCTCCACTGTAACCTGAGGGCACCACACTGCACATGTGGCCCGTCGTTGACAGAAGGTGGCTACGGTGCATGACTATAGCGGAAGCAGCACAAATTATTCCTGGTTTGGTGCTATTTGTAGCTCGCCCTGCCTCACGCTGCTGCCCTCCACTGTGGAGAGGCCACATGATGGCTTTTTGTGGGGTGCACAGCCTGCAACACCAGCAGGGGCTCCCCAGCAGACTTCTGTGTGGAACCCCGGCTCCTGGCCCAATGGTTCCCCCATTCAGGGCGGCATTCCTCACCCAGCAGGCAGCCTGCATGGTCAGTGTCCTGCAATGAAATCAAGCCCACTCGCCTCCCCCACATCCCCGTTCCAGGAAATGCGGACACTGCAGGTGCTCTCGCTCCTGCCCCCCTCCTCACCTGGCAGCCGTGGGGGGCCTTGGCCAGCCTCTAACCTCCAAGTTCCTCAGCTGGGCAGCTGGCACCTGCTCTGGCTTCCCCGCGCCCTGAACTGTCACAGGCGCTGTCTCGTGTTTCCCTCCTGTGAACTGTGCGCCCGAGTTTCTGCAGCTGGACACACATCGGCCTGGGGTGCGGTCACCCCACTTTCTCAGCTCCATCCAGTCTCCAAACACAGTTCCCTTGGACCCGCCTCTCTCGGCTGGTGCGGGGAGGACCACCCATCCATCTCTCCTCCAGTAGATGGCGCTCCAACCGCTTCCCTCCCAAAGGGAGAGGTCTGCTGGGGCGTGTCTAGCAGCTGCTCCTCAGAATTTGGGTTGCTTGGGGTTTGGCTGAAACTCTCAGGCACCTGGGAAACTCCGTCCCCCCACCTGTTCCTCACCTGTGAGCGCACACCTGCTTTTTCCAGACTCTGATATTGCTGGAAGGTCTTTCCACGTCAGCTATTTCTTCTATATTTTAAGTCGATGCAGAGCTTGGCATGCTTTAACTGTATCATAACTCACCAAGCAGGCGTTTATTTGTCAGCACTTAGGTAGTCTCTGGTTTTTTAAAACACACCCCCAGGACTCCTTGTGGCGTTTCCATAATCCTAACCTTTTACTGGTAGTGTCTCTGCAGACTGCTTGGGGGTGCAGCACCAGCGTGCCCCGTACCCATCCCCGTAGGCACGCACCTGGTGCCTGGGCAGGAGGGAGGTGGGTGGGGTCCAGCTGATGCTTCGGCCACAGTAAGTTTGCTCCTGGACCTTCGTGTCTGTTCCCGGGGAGGAGGGGAGGAGGAGGAGGTCTTAGGAGAGGCACCAGGTCTCGTCCCCTGTTTGGTAAGTGGCAGAGCCAGGCCAGGCCCGCATCCTAAGCCAGGACAGTTCCTAAGAAAAGTCACTTGACAAGCTGTGGCAAACAACCTTAGCAGGAAAGACGCCCTGTGGATGTGGGGAACCCCTCTCCTAGAAGGCAGACCTCATCGGACATCACAGAATCCACACCGGGGAGAAACTGGACAGGTGGCGTGAGGAGGTTGTTATCAAGAAGCCCCAACACAGCTGTGGACATGCTGCAGGTGGGAAACCCTCCAGCGAGAAGCCCAGTGTCACTGTGCGCAGAGATTCACCCGGAGGCGACAGGTACCACTTTAGAGAACTGGGAAAAGCCTGTGCTCTTAAAACGAACACCAGGATGGTGATGACGCTCTAGAGAGTCATATATCCTATAATAAAAGGCTAATATGCAAATTGTCCCCTCCACCGGGAGTTCAACCAGGAGTTCGACCAGGGGGTAGGGCTGGCCAGCCCCCCATCTGTGGCCCCTCCCTCTGGCCAGCCCCAACCCAATCTGCCCAATTGGGGAGGGCTGGCCAGACCCCACCAGTGCACAAATTTGTGCACTGGGCCCCTAGTTTATACAGAACATAGTTAATTACAACATGCATCTGTGGTTCCATTAACTGTGACTATTGAGCTTTGATGTATGTGAATAAATTAAACCATTAAGCAACAAATCTAAGAGTTACCAGGACAATCCCATGGCTATACAGGGGTTCTGTGCCTGCGGAACTATGAAGAATTTTATTTATTTACGAACTACACTGGTCATTGAACATAAAGGTGACTTTGTAGACATACACATAATATCAAACTCACTGTCTCGGATGTGTGGTCTAGCCCTGCGGCCTGCAGGGCCTGAGACGCGAGTCCCCGCAGAGTCACCGCAAAGGGCAGTGGCTGGACGGATCCCAGCCCTCGTGACCCAGTCTCCCTGCCGCCAGCGCCGCGTGCCCTGCGCCCCCTTAGAAGGACCCCCATCAGCTTACCAAGACCAGGCTCGTTGGTTTTGAACTGAGCAGGCCCGCCCCAGCCCGGGAACCCCAAAGTGCTCCCGCAGGGGCCCTAGGAGAGGCTCGTGCCCGTCCTACCTCTCTGGGGGCGTTTGCCTGGACCTCTGCGTGGCCCCCCCACGCGCGGTCTACTCCTCCGGCGGGTGAGGGAAGAGCCCCGTTTCCGTTTCTCCCGCGGCTCCCCGCCCCCGCACCCCCGCACCACGCGTGTTCATTAGCAACCGGCGCGGGGAAAGCCTTCCTTCTGCAAATGGCCGGCCGCTGGCTCCCGGGTAGACGGGGCCACCGGGGTCCGCGGCCCGCTGCCCGCCTTCCCACCGCAAAGCGCCGGCTCCCAACGAAGCTCCAGAGCCGCCCTGGGCCTCCGGGCACTGTTACCTCGAGGGTGACGCCCCCCCCCCCCCGCCCCCGGGCTCCTTCCCCGCGGTGTAACTTCAGGTGTTTCCCGCCGCCAGCACGCGCCCAGCTGCGGGCTGTTAGGGGAACTGGCCTCGGTTTTCCCACGGTCCCGTCGCGTTAGGTAACGGCCAGGACACAGGATGGCAACCCTGCCCGGGTGCGGGTTACGGGGGGAGGTGCCAGGCAGTGCCCTCAGAGCCGTGGTCCTCACTCTTGGCGGCACACGGGAATCACCTGGGAATCTCAATGAGGCCCGGAAATCAGGATTTTAAGAAGATTCCCGGGTGATTCTAATGCGCCGCCAAGGGTGAGAGCCACCGCCTTAGGGACAGGTAGAAGGGGCTGCTGCGCTTGCGGGCGGCGCGGGACTCCGAGTCCTAACCCGACGGGAGGGGCCGCCCTCTCTGGGATCACAGGGCTCCGGCTCCGGGCGAGGCGAGTGTCCCGGCCCGTCCCTCTGGGCCGCACACCTTGCTGCTGTCGCACCTCGCACCGGACCCAGGAGGTGCTCTGGGCCCCACTCCTGGCGCAGGATGGCACCACGTCTGACGGCCGATGCAGACAGCCTCAGCTCCCGGTGCCCGCGCCACCGTAAGCGCCCAGCAGGTGAATCGAAGCCCCGCAGCCTGGGCGCTGCTCAGCCTGCTCCTCGGCTGCCTTGGGCCCGGGGGCCACACCAGGCGACCCGCCGCCCTGCGCAGCGAGGCCGACCCTAAGGCTAGAGAGGTGGCCGCCCTGGAGAGGAAGGTGGCCGCCCGCAAGTCCAGCCGCAAGGGAACCACTGTTGACACCAAGCACCATAGGTTAGTTTGTCTCTGGCCTTTATTTAAACGGGCCTGTTCGCTGGTAACGGCAGGTCGCCTTTTTTAAAAAATATACTTTATCGTTTTTAAAGAGAGGAGGAGAGAGATAGAGAGTTAGAAACATCGATCAGCTGCCTCCTGCACACCCCCTACTGGGGGTGTGCCCGCAACCAAGGTACATTCCCTTGACCGGAATCGAACCCGGGACCCTTCAGCCCGCAGGCCGGCGCTCTACCCACTGAGCCAAACCGGTCAGGGCGGTAGGGCGCCTTTTCATTGCCGTGTAGCGTCCCCGCGGCCTCTGCCAGGCGTGTTGGAGTCTATCACCCTCAGGAGCAGCTGGATGGTTTGCAGGCTTGTCTGTTGGAAATACGCTGCCACAACCCCTGCATGAGCACTCATTTCTCTTCAAAAGACGCTCCTTGCGCCGAGAGTTTGGGCCCCCCGCCCCCCGCCAGCCCCAGGACATCGGCAATGCCCGGTGAGCGGTGAGGATCCCGGCTTGGGTGTGGTGCGCGCTACTGCCACCTCGTGGGTGGAGACGGGGGTGCTGCTCACACCCACATCGCACAGGAAGTCCTCCCGCCGCCGGCAGCATCCCGCAAACCCCCAATGGAAGCTGCTCGGGTTCCGTCCCGCCGGCCTTGGGAGCCAGGGGTGGCTCCATCAGGGAGGGCGAGTCGGGGCGTTAGGTGCCATCGGCCTGGTGGCCGGCCCCTGGCGGCCCGTGGCTGACCACCCGCTGCAGGGCGCCCCGCACGTCCCGGTTCCGCAGCGTGTAGATGGCCGGGTAGAGCAGCGGCGTGAGGTTGATGTAGACGAGGGACACCAGCTTGTCCTCGTCCAGGGAGCGGCTGCGCAGGGGCCTGGCGTACATGGCGGTGGCGCAGCCGTAGTGCAGCACGGCCACGGTGAGGTGCGAGCCCACCGTGTGGAAGGCCCGGCGGCGGCCCGCGGCGCCCCCCACGCCCAGGATGACGACCAGCACCCGCGTGTAGGACAGCAGGATCAGGGCGAGCGGCAGCACGAGCAGCAGCAGGCAGGCGGCCAGCAGGACGCGCTCCTGGAGCTCGCGGTCCCCGCAGGCCAGCACCAGCACGGCCGGCAGGTCGCAGAACACGTGGTTGACCACGCCGCCGCGGCAGAAGGGCAGCCGGAAGATGGCCGTGGTGAGGCCCAGGGCCAGGACGGAGCCCCCCGCGCAGCAGGAGGCCAGGAGGCCCCAGCAGAGCCCCCCGGTCATGAGCCGAGGGTAGTCGAGGGGGCGGCAGATGGCCAGGTAGCGGTCCAGGGCCATGGCGGCCAGCAGCAGGCACTCGGAGCCGCCCAGCGCCACGAACAGGCCCATCTGCGCGGCGCAGGTGGAGGGCGCCACGGCCTGGCCGCCGGGCGGCAGCAGGAAGCCGGCCAGCATGCGCGGCGTCAGCACCAGCGAGTAGGCCGCCTCCACGGCCGACAGCGCCCCCAGGAAGAAGTACATGGGCGAGCGCAGGGCGGGGTCGGCGGCCGCCAGGCCCAGGATCAGCAGGTTACCCGCCAGCGTGGCCAGGTAGAGCGGCAGGAGCAGCGCAAAGAGCAGCGCCCGCAGCCACGGGGGCCACCCCGAGAAGCCCAGGATCACAAACTCCCGGGGGGCGGTCCCGTTGGCCCAGGGGCGCATGGAGGGATGGGGGGCGGGTGTGCGGGCTGGAGAGGACAGGCGCGGGGACCCCCTCCCAGGAAACACAGCCCTCCGGGGCCACCCTTACTGCTCACACCCGCCCCGCCCCCAGGACTCGGCCTTCTCTGCTGTCCAGTACTTTCCACCCTTTTCCCACAGCCCCGTCCTCCGCCCTCCGCAGTCAGCTGTGCGGGGCTGCGGCCCGCGCTCCCTCCGCCTCCCCTGACCGTGCACCTGCCCGCGCCCAGGTGCCTTCTTCTCAGCGCCCCCCACTCCTGTCCCTTCCAGCCTTCTAACCCCGCGGTGTCCGCACCCACGGGGCCAGGCGGCCCAGCCCGCAGCGAGGAGATGGAGTTGGTGCCTGCGGGGAGCCGACGGAGGGGATTCCGGTGTCTATGGGACAGCCTCCTGGCTGAGCGGGCAAGGGCTGCTGCGGGATGGAGACGTCCCTCCTGCAGACAGAGCCACGGGGAAGCAGGGGCTTGAGCATCTTAGGAGCCCCTGGCGGAGGCTGGGCGCACGCGCCTCCCCGACCCCCACCCCTGCGCGCACACACACGTGCTCCCCCCGCCCCCCTGCACTGCCCCTGCTCCTGGGGCTCACCTCCCAGCTCTGCGCTGCCAGACCTCGTGTGCCCCTCCCCTCCCCTCTCCTGCCCTGGACTCCGTTTTCTGTCTCACATTTTCCACTTCCTCTGCTCCCTAGATTCAGGACAAACCCATCCTGCGCCCGTCATTTCTCTTTGACTCAGTTACAGAGAAAAACCGGCCAGGGAAGGCGGCTGCCCGCTCCGGATGCAGAGCAGCCTTCTGACCCGACTGAGGGCGGGATGGCCGCCTTGGCTGAAGCTCCGCTGATGGACCCTGAATCTAAAGACCCCCCTCCAGCTGCAGACCCTGAGGTCCCGCCCTGCCCACCCCACTTCCCATTCAACCTGCCCCAGTGACACGCCATTTCCCACCGCGCCTCCCCTGCATCTGCGCTGGCGCTGCCCAGGGCCACTTCAGCATCAGGAGGTCCCGGCCCGTGAATTCGCTGCCCTGACCCTCAGGGCCACCGGGGACCCCATCCCGTCACAAACACCCCAGGCCTCAGAGGGTCCCCTCTCTTCTCCTGACTCTCCTCTTCGTAATCACAGCAGGTGCCGGCCCCTGCTTCCTTCCAATCGCTGCACCAGCTGGAAGGCCTTGCACAATGACAGGTACCCGGTCCGAGCCTCCCTCCAGGGTTAAGTCCAAAGCCCTCAGCACAGCCCCACTGTCCTGCGGTCCCTCGCAGCTACTTCCAGCCTCGTTGCCTGTCGCCTGCTGCTCACCCAGTGGGAGCGATTGGCCACCCATCTGAGCAGACCTGCCCTTGCACCCCACTCCCGTTTCCTGGAACCCCCTGGAAGAGCTGGGAGGGCTCTGTGCATCCTTCTGGCTGACTCCCACGCTACGTCCTGGCACGTCTGCTGTCCTCTAATTCCACGGCTGTTGTGGCAACTCCATGAAACTCCGTCTCAGAATAAAAGATTTGGGCCCTATCTGTTGTTTGCTGAGTTACTGTAAGTGACGGAATTAGTTACTCAGCCCGCATTTCCCCACATGCCCGCCCCACTCAGTGTCCCTATGGTGTCCCTAACCTGGATTTCAGACCCTGGAACCTTGACTCAGAAGACTCAGCCCTTTATAACAGTCAGTGGCCCCAACATCTGTTGGCTCCTCCCCTCAAATGCCCCCCAGCATGGACCATTCATCTCAGATAGGGTGCACGCAGTCAATCAGCTTCAAGGTAGATGCCCTCCCCCAACTACCAGAGTCATGTCTGTCTCCCCACCTGGCCAGCAAAGCCCAATTGTCCGGCCTTCCCCGTGACTCACTCAACCAAGACACACACTCGTCTCCTGTCTTCCTCTTCACGCGCCCCAATCCTTAAACCTTTGCTCCTTTGGTGCCTCCTTCATGCTCGCCCGTCCCAAGGAGCCTTACCTGGTTCCGTGGAAACACTGCTTCAAAGCACTTCCATACGTGACACCATGATGCCCATCAACGCCCATCAAGCTGTCAGAGCAGGCTGGCATCATTCCTGCCTGTCCCACTGCTGGTTCCTCTCCTCACAGGGGCTGGAGGGCACCGAGGCCATTTCTATGGAGCGAAGACCAACAGCCACTGCCTTGTGAACCATGCGGCGTCCTACGCTATGTGACGGAGAGCTGGTCGGCGAGCCAGAGCCCGTCTCCTCACCTGGAAGACGAGAGGTGGACCAGATGGTCTTTAAAGTTTCTTCCAGGTCTGATGTTTTTATGGTTCCATCAAAAGCTCTGTTTGTGGTTATGTATTCCCAAGGTAAACCATTTGTTTTTTAAAAACAAGTTATGTTGGCCGGCCAGAGTGGCCCAGATAGTTATCCTATGCACTGAAAGGGTGCGGTTCCATTCCCGGTCAGGCCACATATCTGGCTTGCGGGTTTGACCCCCAGTCAGGGTGCACACAGATTGATGTTTCTCTCTCACATCGATGCTTCTCTCTCTCTCTCTCTCTCTCTCTCTCTCCCCCGCCCTTCCTCTCTCTAAGCCTACCCTCAGGTGAGGATTAAAAAATATATTTTTTGATGTTTCAAAAGCCCATAAGGAAGTTTGAAGGCATGGGTTTAATTTAGAATTCTGAATGATCAAGGGGGACATTACATTAGGTGTAATATTGTTGTCAATCTGTGGGTCTTAGAGGCCCTCCGGCCAGTGCACACAGCAGAACAGACCCTTGTGGCAGGCCCGGTGTTTGTGTCAAGTGTCCACTGGCCGGGTGTGCGCAGTGCATTGTGGGATGTGCTTTGCCTCATCATGGGACTCTGAGTGGCCTCAGATAATAGGGAGTCTGGGGCTGAGTCAGGAGAGCTGGCTTCTAGTCCTGCCTGGGATGTTGCTCAAGTCACTTCTTCCTCTGGATCTCAGATTCCTCACCCGCCTCCTTGATGTGGGACTCGGGCTCCGTAGCCCCCAGAACCCCAAGATCTAATTGCGCATTTCGTGGAGTGAGGATGGCCCAGGGGCACAAACAGGCTTTGGTTCACACACCCCTGGGCTTTGGTCTCAGCTCTTCCTCTGACCAGCGGAGAGACTTAGGGGCCCCGCCTGAGACCTTCGAAGGCCCGTGGAAGTGCTTTGGTGATGGGCTGAAGTGAGGAACGGGAAGTGCCTGGCACGGCAGGGCCTGCGTGTAGTAAGTTGTATTGAATAAAAACCCCAAATATCAAGACATGCTCCATGCGTCCCTGGGCTCCCCACCCCCGGTGACCATCTGGGGAGGGAAGAGCTACCTGGAGAGACCAGGAAACCAGTGGGGCGAGGACCTGGAGGGGAGCCCGGAGCAGCCCAGGGCTACCTGCCCAGCGCTCCCATCCCGAGACCCGAGACCCGCTGTGCCTCCACGTTCCCAGCCGTTGCCTCTCCTCCCCAACCTCTCCTGCGGCTCTTCCTCCGTCGCCTCCTGGCTCTGCCCTGCCTTCGTGGGCAATACCCTAGGCGCCCACAGGAGCAGCGGACAGAATCACCATAGCTACCCCTGCTGTCGCTATCCTTGGCGTTGGCTGACCCTGCCGTTCGCAGCATGTTCCAAGCTCGCTGCATGCACAACACTGTCTCATTTGGGCAAGGTTGCTACGAAGCAGTGGCATTACTACTATTATTATTATTATTATTATTATTATTATTAGTTTACAGATGAGGAAGCTGAAACTCAATGAGATCACCTGTTCATGGGGTCACCCAATGTCTCCCTTGGCTGGGATTTGTCCCCAGGTCTGACTGATTTCCCAGTCTGTGCTGTTATGCGGGGAGTCTCCCCCTCGCCCCCCATCTGTCAGTCCTTCCTCACCCAAACAAAGGACATGGGAAAGGACTGGAGGACAGAGAACAAAGCCTCTTAGCGGCCAGGAGGCGCAGAAGCAGAAGGAGGTGTGTGACCAGAAACAGGCGGGGGAGCCTGCCGAGGGCCACGGAGAACAGGTTAGGAGTGAAGACGTGCTGTTTGTCAGTGTCCCCAGTGCACATGGTTCACCAGGCTCTGAGCTAACACAGAGACAGACAGACAGAGACAGACAGACAGACAGAGACAGACAGACAGACAAAGAGACAGAGACCGAGGAGAATCTCCCATGTCCCCCAGCCTTCTGGACCTGACACTCCCTCCTCACATTTCCTCTCCATGGCAAACGTGGGTCTCAGCCGGTGAATTCTACCAGGGGCTCTGCACTCAGTGCCTGGCACCCTCACCCCACAGGAGCCACTTCCCGTGGCCTCCCTGAAGGAAAAAGACCAGTATATGCAAATTCATTAAAGGAGACACCCAGACGCAGGGCCACCAGACCCCAATGCCAGCCCGAATCACACCCTCAGCTCCTCGGTTGACCAGGCCCATTGCCCACTGTTCCAACAAGGATTTCTGAGAGAGGGAGGGGTCCAACCTGGGGTGAGGAGCAGGTGCCCTGAATTCTGGTGAGAAGTGCCAGCTCCAACCACACAATTTGGACACACCTTCCCTGCTTGGTCCCACCCTCGCCATCTCTGCCCCACCTGGCATTCGCCATGTAGCTACTGCATGTGCCTACCCATTTCTCCCTGACCTGACACATACTTCTCCATAGCTCAGTCCTTCCGCACCTGGAAATCTACTCATTCTTCAAGGCCAAGATGGACCATCAGCTCCTTTATGCTTAAAAAAACAACAAAGTAGCAGAGTAGGTTATAGATGGATTTTATAAAAAATGGAGAGCAGGCAGACTCCACCACATCAGTGCCTTCTCCCAGGACCTTCCCGCTTCTGTCCCGAGGGGCCCTCAGTCGGGAAGTTGCCTAATAGGTTTCCCAGGGCCCACTTAAGGGTCTGGTGGATCGAGCTCCAGAGCCTCATTAACGATCTTCTCCCCCCACGGTGGTCCCCGGGGGCGCATGAGGACTCAGAAGGCTGGGCTGCAGGGATGAGATGGGAGAGGACTTGGGAAATCTGAACGGGGTCTCTAGG